ATTTGGTTCTGATTAATTCAAAATCTGCAGAGTTAAAAGCTAGAGATTCACCTAATTGTTCTCAAAAGACATGCTTTTCCCTTTCCAAACTCTGAATTCAGTGGCTGTTTCTCCCTGCAGGAATGATGAAAGCAAAGATTTGATAACTTTGACAAACACAGATCATGCGCATAAGACTAAAAAGGGGAAAGAAAGATTTCAGGCACCACTATCTTCCAGGATAAACCGACTTTGGCTTTGGCAGGCTGAAGCCAGGTAGTCCAGGCATCCTGAGGTGAACTGTTACATTCACAATAAATCAAGCTGCTGGCATGATACCTACATTGATTTATGTCAAGTTACTTACGGGGCTGTTTGCGCTAAAAATACTCATATTTCGACAGGTGAAAATCGACCTAATCCAAACACCCAAATCAATCGTCAATTTCAACTCAAGAAGACTGGAATTGTCGATGCAACAATGCAGCCTGATGAGCTCCCATTTGAGCTGTCAGGTTTTTTGTTGTTTCTTGTTTCTTTTTTTCTTCACTGAAACCCGCAACGCCCGATGTAAATCCTGAACGTGTCAACAAGCTTACCTTTTTCATTTCACTGTAATCAGCGGCAGAAGGGTGTCGGTCACACAGGAATAGTTATCCAGCTCTTACATGCCGTAATATCACAGTCACCCAGCTGCTTATCTGTCGAGAAGGTAAACAAGGCGATCCTATAACATCGCTAAAAAATAAAATTGTCTTTCTTTATCTCTTAGTTGGAGCCTATGGCACCATTTCTTTGCGGTCATTGCGTGTCGGTCCTTGCCCACAGCAGCTACAGCGGTGTCTCTCTGACAGCAGCTCGCCGGTTTACTCAGGGATCCATCGCGGCAGGGAAAACGCAGTTTGGAGGCTGCCGGTGATGCTGCAGCAGCAGCGTTTGGTCCGTCGAGACGCGGGATGAGAGAGGTGGGGGTGGGGGCATCCGAGGGCCCACGACAAACCACCCAGCTCCGTAAATGAACTCATCGGACCCGAAATCACGGTTTCATGAGCAAACGGTGGTTGATGAATCATTATGCGCAGAGAGAGGCCACATGAGTGCGTGCGTGCTTTTGGCTGTCTATTCGTTCCGTTTGTGAGGAGTGATGCTCCTTGATGATTCAAGGAGAGAGAAGAGGGAGTTTAAAGGAAAAATTCATTCAAAAAGCAGACCGCAGGCCCGAGCTTTGACTGACATCGAGTTGGTGATGTTTTTGGATGACGCTTTTTAAAGTTGGTCAGAAACAGCAGATACGATCGTTCCGATCACTGATTAATCAGCCGATTATTTTCATTTTCCATTCTGATTTGGTAAAAGCAAAGGACAAATATCCACGCAATTTGTTAACATCACAAGACAGAAAACAATTGTTTTCAGCCATTAAAAAGAGAAAACTGGGGGGAAAAAAACTTTATTTTTGGGACGCTGGACCTAGAGTTCTTCCTAGAAAAGTGACTGAAAGAATAAACGGATTATCAATTAGTCTCAGTTGATCGACTGATTGATTTACAGTTGCTACATCCAAGTTGATGGATGGATGGGTTCAGTGGCGACTCCAGAGTCTGTTGGGGACCTCAACAAAAATCACAGTGGGCCCCTCCAACCAGCCTCCCGTCGCAGTTATAATATTACTGGGTCATGTCACTGACGGCAGAGCTGGGCACACTAGGCTGATTGATGTTAATTATTAACATCAGTTAATTAGTTAATTGATGTTAAACTTCAGCATAAACAAAAGAAGCCACAGTAAGATAGCCTACTTTAGTCAAGTCTCTCCCACAGTTAGGATCAGATGTGCAGCGTTTGGTTATTTGGTGTTAATCATTATTATCTACGCC